AAAAAAAAAAAAAAAAAAAGAACTCAATAAGACCATCATAGTAATAACTGAGTTAGACAAGAATCCTCAAGGGGTTTATACTAGGTATAAAAATATTTACACCATTTCAAATAATGTTCCCACAGATTGCTTATTATTTACAAAGGGAAAATGGTAGCTTTTCATTGGAGAAAACTGGGAGATAGATATTACATTAACCACATTAATATCACCAATATTGGGAAAAACAGACAGCATGTACTTCCTACTGTGATGTACCAAGAAGGACACAACATCACTTATGTAGTATTCCTGCCAACAGTTCACTATTTGAATCTGATCTTGAGGAAACTATTGGGTATATCCAAAATTAGGGACACTACAAAACATTTGACTTGCTCTCATAAATCTATCAGTACCATGAAAGACAAAAACCATTTTTGTTACACGTTAAAGGAGGCTAAGGAGACAGGACAACTAAATGCAATGTATGAACCTGGATTAAGAAAAAAAAAAAAGATTGCCATAAAGGAGAATATTGAGAAATTGGAGAAATTTGAATATGGATGATTTATGAGACAACAGTTTCTATCAATGTAAAATTTCCTGAAATATTTAAGGATGAATGGCTAAGATGTCTGCAACTTACTCTCAAATGGTTTTGCCCCCCCAACACACACACACACACACACACACACACACATACACATAAACACAGAGAGAGGCAGCAGAAAGAGAGAGAAAACAAATTTGGCAAAATGTTAACAGTTGATGAATACAGATTAATGGTATAATTGGGAGTTCTTTGTCCTAGTCTTGAAACTTTTTGGTAAATTGTAAATTTTTAAAAACAAAAAGTTTTAAAAAACTGCACTTATCTATGTTGTTTGCAAGAAACACAGAAAGAGAAATAAAGAGACAGCAGAAAAATAAATATCCAGGGAAGATAAAAGTACTAGAATTGAATGTGAAAAGTGCTAAACTTGATAAAGAAAAACCAGTGTAAAAGTCAGTATTTATGAAAAAGATACAGTAATAAGAAAACTTATCTCCAACCAATGTAACAGCTGAATACATAAAGAAAAATAGTATTAAAAGAATAAGAAGAAATGGGAAAAAAATACCATTGTTGTGAGAGAGCTGAGCAGATCTGCTAGCACACGGAAATAAGCCAGGATACATAGTAATGAAAAATATCTACTCCATAAACTACATATAATAAATGATCTACAATATATGATATCCAAATATATTTATATATACAATCTCAAGTTCCCAGAATAAAAAAAATTGACATTTTTTACATCCATGGATTAGCCACAAAAAATTGATGATTTCTTTGTTCACAAAGAAAACCTTAACAAAGATTTCTTAAAAATTAAGATATTATCGCTCATATTTACTGCTCATAATCCAGTAAAATTGGAAATAAATAATAAAAAGACCAAAAAAGTCTTAGCTATTTGAAAATTTGAAAGGGGCTCGTGCTCCAAATAACCCTTGGTTCAAAGATAAAATTAAAAAGAAAAATAGAAACTATCTGTAAAGATCTTCAAAGAGGAAATATACAGAGTTTATTTTAAATAAAACATTTTATCTTCGTGTTTCTTTAACCTCTCAGAAAGTCAGAAATAGATGATATCATATAACTGGTTCTTTTTTTTAAAATTTTTTTTATTGTATTTTAGATGAAGGTTTACAGAACAAATAGTTTCTCATTAAACAGTCAGCACACATATTGTTTTATAACATTAGTTAACAACCCTAAGACTTGTCAACACTCTTCCTTTTCAAGCTTGGAGGATCCTTTTTTTTTTTGGTGAAAATATAAATAGCCAAAGTTACACCATTTCAGAAGTTTCTACATGTACAGTTCAGTGACATCAATTACATTCTTCAAGTTGTGCTGCTATTCTCACTGTCCTTTTCCCAATTATTCCATCACCATTATCTTCAACTCATTGCCCCCAGGCTTCCCATGAAAGCTTTTGAGTTGCTGTTGTCAATTTGATCTCACATAGATAATTCTTTTTTTTTTTTTGTACCTTAGATAAAGGTTTGTAGAACAAATAGTTTCTCATTAAACAGTTAGTACATATATTGCCCTATGACAATGGTTAACAACCCCATGACATGTCAACACTGTCCCTTCTCAACCTTGGGTTCCCTATCACCAGCTTTCCTGTCCCCTCCTGCCTTCTAGTCCTTGTCCCTGGACTGCTGTGCCTCATTAGTCCCATTTTGTTTTATGAGGCTGTCCAATCCCCAGCTGAACGGTAAACTTCGGGAGTGACTTCACCACTGAGCTAAAAGGGTGTCCAGGGGCCATACTCAGGGTTTCTCCAGTCTGTCGGGCCAGTAAATCTAGTCTTTTTTTTTGTGAGTTAGAATTTTGTTCTACATCCTTTTGCAGCTCTGTTCAGGACCCTGTATTGTGATCCTGGTCAGAGCAGTCATAACTGGTTCTTATTTGTCGTGGTTCAATAAAAAGAGTTGAATTAAATGCCATACTCTTGGACATGATAGACATATACAACTTACCTTTACTTGAAATTCAATGTTTACTTGTTTTTTTAAACCCCAACTTATTTGTTAATATATTTTAAGTCTTATTTGTTTGCATGTTTATTAAACTTCAGTTTATAATAATCTTAAATTATATTTTGGATTTTGACAGTTTAGAAGATTATCTGGAAAGACAACATATATCTCAGTTTTGTGATGTTGAAGATAATTCAATTAATGTTGATAAGTTCATTGACATCTTCTTCCCTGATTTTAAAAAAATGAAAAGCATGAAATTGGAAAAGATACTGGCATTAATTAGACCAGACCTCTTTAAAGAAAATAAAAGTAAGCAAGAAAACATAAATCAATCATTTTGTAGATGGAATTTGAATCATTAATAGTATAAATACATTAAATGACATTATTTTAAAATTGAAAACAAAGAACCTGAAATTAGAAATTTAGTTAATATTAATTTGCTAATTTCTTATAATAATGAATAAAATATTTTTGAAGTTAAAGAGTTTACAAAGGATTTTCTAACCAGTGAATTTGTTAGAGTAGATATTAACATTGGAGGAATTATTTCATTATACTAAAAATGGGAAGCTTTCAATCTGAAATTCCTAATTTCAGAGCTTGGTCCAACCACTCACTGATAGTGCGACTTGAACAAGATAATTTACCAAGTCTATTTCTTCAGATGCAATGAGATACATAAGTGCCAGTGTAGATACTTGATAAGTACCACTTATTTTCAGCCATAAATTTGGTACATAGCAGAGTGAATATGGCAGCATAAGAACACAAATCATTAATTAACATCGTCATTCTTTATTATACCAAATGTACAGAAATACAGTTGATACAGTATTTGTATGTTGACCTCGTATTCTGTGACTTGCTAAACTCACTCATTAGTTCTAGAACTTTTTTGTTGTTTTTAATCATGGTAAACACTTGCCGTTTTAACTTTTTTTTTTCATGTACAATTCAGTGACATTAATTATGTTCATCTTGTGGTACAACCATCATCACTATCCATTTCCAGATTTTTCCATCACCCTCTCATCCTCTTCTGAGCCCATTCCTATTGGGCTTCTACCAGAACTATTCTAGTCAAGACCACCAATACCTTCCAGATTGCCAAATCCAACTTTCAAGCGGTCAGTCCTTTCATCTCAGCTCTTATTAGTATTCAGCACAGTTTCTGCATCCGTATTGGTCACCATGGTTTGGATTGTCACTGACATCCTAACTCCCATTCCTGGGAAGCAAACATACTCTTGCCATTTTTCTAAGCAGAGCAAATCCACCGTCTACCAGATTCCAGTGATCTCCCCTTATACCCTGAAAAAATTTTTCCCCAAACAAATACAGTTTTCTCCTATGGAGGATTTTGATATTAGCTCTTAATATAATATTTCTACTGTATACACATGGAGCCATGGCAGTCCAGTGGTTAAGAACTCGGCTGCTAACCAAAAGATTAGTAGTTCAAATTCACCAGCCTGCTCCTTGGAAAGCCTATGGAGCAGTTCTACTCTGTCCTAATTTTTTGGACTGTATGCACAAATCTCACTGATGCTTGAGGATGACAAGTTGTTGTTAGATGCCGTCAAGTCAGTTCTGACTCATAGTGACTCTGTGTACAGCAGAACGAAACACTGCCTGGTCCTGTGCCATCCTCACAATCATTGCTGTGTTCGAGCCCATTGTTGCAGCCACCATGTCAGTCCATCTTGCCAAGGGTCTTCCTCTTTTTCGCTGACCCTCTGTCTTACCAAGGATGATGTCCTTCTCCAGGGACTAGTCCCTCCTTACAACATGTCCAAATGTGTAGGAAGTCTCACCATCCTCGCTTCCAAGGAGCACTCCGGCTGTACTTCTTCCAAGACAGACTTGCTTGTTCCTTGGCATTCCATGGTATATTCAGTATTCTTCACCAACACCATAATTCAAAAGCATCAATTCTTCTTTGGTCATTCTTATTCATTGTTCAGCTTTCGCATGCAGATGAGGCGATTGAAAATATAATGGCTTCAGACAGGTGCACCTTAGTCCTTAAAGTGATATCATTGCCTTTTAACACTTTAAAGAGGTCTTTTGTAGCAGATTTGCTCAATGCAAATACATCGTTTAGTCTCTTAACTGCTGCTTCCATGGGTGTTGATTGTGAATCCAAGTAAAATGAAATCCTTGACAACTTCAATCTTTTTTCATTTATCATGATGTTGCTCATGGTCCAGTTGTGAGGATGTTTGTTTTCTTTATGTTAAGGTGTAATCCACACTGAAGGCTGGAGTCTTTGATCTTCATCAGTAAGTGCTTCAAGTCCTCTTCGCTTTCAGCAAACAAGTTTGTGTCATCTGCATATTGCAGGCTGTTAATGAATCTTCTACCAATCCTGATTTACATTCTTCTTCATATAGTCCAGCTTCTCAGATAATTTGCTCAGCATACAGATTGAATAAGTGTGGTAAAGGAAATAACCCTGATGCACACCTTTTCTGATTTTAAACCACCCAGCATCCCCTTATTCTGTTCAAACGACTGCCTCTTGGTCTATGTACAGTTTTACCATGAGCACAATTAAGTGTTCTGGAATTCCCATTCTTAGAAATGTTATCCATAATTTGTTATAATCCACACAGTCGAATGCCTTTGCATAGTCAGTAAAACACAGGTAAACATCTTTCTGGTATTCTCTACTTTCAGCCAAGATCCATCTGACATCAACCATGATATCTTTCATTCCATGCCCTCTTCTGAATCTGGCTGGAATTTCTGGCAGTTCCCTTTTGATGTACTGCTGCAACTATTCTTGAATTATCTTCAGCAAAATTTTACTCACATGTGATATTAATTGATATTGTTTGATAATTTCCACATTCTCTTAGATCAGCTTTCTTTGGAATGGGCACAAACGTGAATCTCTTCCAGTCGATTGGCCAGATAGCTGTCTTCCAAATTTCTTGGCATAGCTGAGTGAGCACCATCGGTGCAACATCCGTTTGTTGAAACATCTTAATTGGTATTCGATCAATTCCTGGAGCTTTGTTTTTCACCAGTGCCTTTAGTGCAGCTTGGGCTTCTTCCTTCAATACCATTGGTTCTTGGTCATATGCTACCTCCTGACATGGTTTAACGTCAGTCAGTTGTTTTTGGTACAGTGACTCTGTATATTCCTTCCATCTTCTTTTGTTGCTTCCTGCATCATTCAATATTTTGACCCTACAAACCAAACAAAACTCGTTGCTGTTGAGTTGATTCTGACTCATAACAACCCTATAGGACACAGTAGAATAGCCCCATACGATTTCCAAAGCGTGGCTTATGGATTCAAACTGCCCACTTTTTGATTAGTAGCTGTAAATCTTAACCACTGTGCCCTCAGGGCTCCATTTTGCCAATAGAACCCTTCAGTATTGCAACTCGAGGCTTGAATTTTTTCTTTAGTTCTTTCAGCCTGAGAAACGCTGAGCATGTTCTTCCCTTTTCGTTTCCTAACTCCAGGTCTTTGCACATTTCATTATTATATCTTACTTTGTCTTCTCAAGCCACCTTTTGCAATCATCTGCTCAACTCTTTTACTTCATTATTTCTTCCATTTGCTTTAGCTACTCTACATTCAAGAGCAAGTTTCAGAGGCTCTTCTGACATCCATTTTGGTCTTTTCTTTCTTTCCTGTCTTTTTAATGACCTTTTCCTTTCTTCAGGTATGATATACTTGATGTCATCCCACAATTTATCTGGCCTTTGATCATTAGTGTTCAATGCATCAAATCTATTCTTGAGATGGTCTGCAAATTCAGGTGGGATATACTCAAGGTCGTATTTTGGCTTTTGTGGATTTGTTTTAATTTTCTTCAGCTTCAGCTTGAGCTTGCATATGTGCAGTTGATGATCTCTTCCACAGTCGGCCCCGCGCTTGTGCTGACTAATGATAATTAAGCTTTTCCATCATCTCTTTCCACAAATGTACTCGATTTGATTCCTGTGTATCCCATCCAGTGAGGTCCACGTGTATAGTTGAAATTTATGTTGTTGAACATGAGTAAGTTGTCGGTCTTGCAAAATTCTGTCATGTGATACCTGGCTGCGTTTCTATCACCAAGGCCATATTTTCCAACTACCGATCCTTTTCTGTTTCCAACTTTTGAATTCCAATCACTAGTAATTATCAGTGCATCTTGATTGCATGTTTGATCAATTTCAGACTGCAGAAGTTGGTAAAAATCTTAAGTTTCCTCATCTTTGGCATTAGTGGTTGGTGCGTAAATTTGAATAATTGTCATATTAATTGGTCTTTCTTGCAGACAAATGGATATTATCCTATCACTGACAGTGTTGTACTTCAGGATCGATCTTGAAATGTTCTTTTTGACAATGAATATGATGCCGTTCCTCTTCATTTTGTCATTCCCAGCATAGTAGACCATAAAATTGTCCTATTCAGAATGGCCAATACCAGTCCATTTCAGCTTAGTAATGCCTAGGATATCAATCTTTATGTGTTGCATTTCATTTTTGACAGCTTCCAATTTTCCTAGATTCATACTTCGTACATTCCACATTTCAATTATTAATGGATGTTTGTAGTTGTTTCTCCTCATTTTGAGTTGTGCCATATCAGCAAATGAACGTGCCCGAAGCTTGACTCCATCCACGTCATTAAGGTCAACTCTTTGAGGACATAGCTCTTCCTCAGTTGTGTTTTGAGTGCTTTCCAACCTGAGGGTCTCATTTTTCAGCACTATGTCAGACAATGTTGCCCTGCTATTCATAAGGTTTTCACTGGCTAATGGTTTTTAGAAGTGGATTGCCATGTCCTTCTTCCTAGTCTGTCTTAGTCTAGAAGCTCCACTGAAACCTGTCCACCATGGATGACCCTGCTGATATTGGAAATACAAGTGGCATAGCTTCCAGTATCACAGCAACACATAAGCCACCACTGTATGACAGACTGACAGACACATAGTGGAAGATGACATAAAGTTATTAATAAAAGAGAGAGAAGGCAAAATTTGGAACGGGTTATCAAATATTACTCTCCCATTGATCCATTGCTTGACTCTGGCCTTGGTTTTTTATTATTTCAGCTTTACATGTTTACTTTACATGTGTTTGTCATCTGGTAGTTGTAATTCACTGTTCTTCTTTTTAAATAATTTTTTTGCTATTATTGACATTTTATTGTTCTGAATCACTTCCTGAAATTCCAAAGCGAAGTCCACATGGATTGATTAATTTAGGGAAAATTGACATCTTTATCATATTCTTATGTATTTATTCAAATATGATAGTTTTTGATATTTTTTAATTAAATGAAGTAATATGCACAAAGTTCTTTGCTTTTTGCCGAATATGATATGCACTCAATGAATGTCCGTTGTTCGCAGTTGTTGTTGTTTAAACCAAACAAAACCCATTGCAGTCAAGTTGATTCCAACTCATAGCAACCCTATAGGACAGAGTAGAACTGCCCCGTAGGGTTTCTAAGGGGTGGCTAGTGGATTTGAACTTCTGACCCTTTGGTTAGAAGCCTGAGCTCTTAACCACTGTGCCACTAGGGCTCTTCTTGCTGTTTAGTGCTCAGATATTTCTTTTTAGGGTTATTCTTAGTTTTGTTATTTTTTTTATGGTGAATATAATCTTTTGTCCCCTTCATTTTATTTTCTATTTAAGAAAGATAGTGACTTCTGTATATTTTTTCTTGCTGACCACCTTATTGAATTACATAATTTAATTCTAAATACTTTACCTTTTAAAAATTGACTCTAAAATTTTCAAAACAGCTTATGTGCAACCATAATTTTATTATCTTTATGGAATGCTTAGAACTTTCAGAGAAATGTTAAAGAATTAGTAGAATTCCAGAAAAATGTTAAATAATTAATAATTATTAGTGAAACATCTTGCCTTATTTTTTTTTTCCCTGACTGCTATTGATACCTCTAGTCTATTTAATTATGATGTTAGTTTTTGATTTCGGGAAAATATTTTTAATCATCTTTAGGCAATATCTTTCTATTCCTACTTTGCTACAAAGTGATACAAAAAGATTTTGAATGTAGTCAAATTTTTTTTTTGATATTTACTGAGAACGTAAGCTATTATTTGTCCTTTGACCTATTAATGCAATTATAACAGATTTTCTAATGTTCAACCTTCCTTGGGTTCCTAGAGTAAATTTAAATAAGCCATAGTATACACCATGGTATTGCAGTTTATTCATTAATATTTATTTTAGTTAAAATATTGTTCTTTATTCTTTCCCAGATATTGTTTCAGGATTATTCTAAGTTTCCTTTGTGTTAAGCACAGTGGGAGAATTTTATATATCATAGAAACTATTCATAACTTAATAAACTTTACTAATAAAGGTACCTAGTTGATTTCCCATTTTGGGGGGATAAGTAAGATTTTTAAATTTCTTCCATGGTTATTTATCTGTTTCTGGTTTTACAAATTCTTCTTTAGGCAGTTTTGGCAATTTATACTTCCTTTGAAATTCATCCATTTCTTGACTTTCAAATATACCAAAGACTCATTGCCATCAAATTGATTCTAATGGTGACTCCATGTGTTAGCGTTGAGATCTTTTTTCAAAAAGCAATTTGTTTTTCTTTCATAATTGCTTATTTTTTGTTTTTATCTATAATTCATTTTCATTCATTTTTATGTCTTAGGTCTCTATTTTTGTTCCTTTTCTAGCTTCTTGATTTGAATTTTTATCCACTTATTGTAATTCTTTATTGTTTATTAATGGAAACATTCTTATGAGTACTACTTTGGCTTTAGCTCATAATTTTTAGTATTCATTGTTCTACCTGTCTAATTAGTTGGAAATAGTTTTAACTTAATCTAAGAACTTTTCTCTATTAGTTAAGAGTTTGTAGCTCATGTAATTTTATTATTACAGCTGTTTTTATTGTTTGTTTTCTATGCTTTCTTGTGATCTTTGTTTATTTTGCCATAAGGACTAAGTATTTCTTGCTTTCATCTTTTCTACTATTTTGCAAGATGAATATCATGTTTTTAGTTCTACATATGATTTTTTTAGAAGTAGTTTTAGACTCATATTTGATTATTTTTCAGAATCAAGAATGACTTATTAATTTTGAGTTTAGTTGATTTTTATTTCTCTCCCCATGCTCGAACCCACCCTATTCCGATTTCTTATGTTTTTAATTTGTTTAATGTTGTTCGAGGTTTTAGTAGACAGATGGCTGTTAAGTTACTTTTTCAATAATCTTAATTTGATAATTTTTGGAAATTTATATTTTGTTTGCAATCAGATTTACAACAGATGCGTTTAGAATTTTCTTTATACCAACTAGTTTTCATGCTTTCCACAGTCCTAAAAACTTCTACTAAGTTTTTACTTTTTAATTACATAATTATATTTTATCTTTCAGTTATCTGAGATATTTAAGCATATATTTTTAAATACATGTATCAAGTTGCTGTTTTCTTTGCCCTTGTATATCAGCGAATGTCTTTCTATTTTCTTTGTATATGTGAAAGAAAACTTGTGTAGCTATACAAGTTGTTATATTAGCCCCTCACCCTCAAACCTATAGACTTTAGTCCACTGACTTTTGATCTTTTGTATTGCAGAGGAAAAGTCTGCCATCAGCCTTGTTTTTTTACATTTGTAGATAATTTTGTCTTTTGTTATTGCTGTTTTACTTAGACACATGTAGACATTATTCCCGTTTATTTTTTGCACAAATTTTTTTGAAGATCATGTAGACACATAAGAATGAACTTATTTTTTGCACACTTATTTTATTACTAACACCTTATGAAACAGTTTGTCTACAGTTGATGAGAGGTAGGATATCAAGGTGTTCAGAGCTTTGAAGTATAATTTTGATGGACAAGTTATTCCATGAAACTCCCTTACAATGACTAAAGGTCTTTGTGTAGAACTAGGAATTTTCTGCATCTTCATACCTGTCACTGACTACGTGTATTAGGTGGCATCACTGAAGTATTTTAGATGATGTTCAAAAATCCTCATGGATACTATGCGAATAAAATATTATTATATCTGTCATAACATTTGAAGTGGAACTTAATCCTCTATTTATAAGGTCAAGGAAGCTCATTACCATCTTGCAAGCAATGGTACTCCCAAGTGCTTTGCTACAGTATCCCAAGTTGGATCCTGAGGACCCTCTATTTGCCTGCCAGTGTTTATAATTATTTGGTGATCACTTAAGTAAGAAAGTGCAAAATAGGAAAGGCATTTTCGGGGACAATCAATCCACTCCTTCCAGCACTACTTCAATTAAAAACAAAACAAAGCAAAAAACAGTTGGCATTGAGTTGATTCTGACTTATGGCTACCCTATGTGTGTCAGAGTAGAACTGTGCACCATAGGGCTTTCTATGGCTGATTTTTCAGAAGTAAATTGCCAGGCCTTTTTTCTGAGGTGCCTCAAACTACCAGCCTTCAGTTAGCAGCCAAGTGTGTCAACCATTTGCACTACCCATGGACTCCCTGTTTCAATTACTCTACCCTTTTTGGTCCACATGAGCTGAGTTTTATGCAGATTTACCTTCCTCTGAATATTTTCTTCAGTGTTTACCATGAGTCATTACAAAAAGTCATCATATACCAACTGTTTGAGGATTATTTTTCACATATAAACTGTTGTCATTAGGTATCCTTATATGAGAAATCTTTTTAAAGTTTAGTAATTAAAAAAAAAAAATTCAGTCTCTTCTAAGAATTAATATAATTCCAGCTTTTTAAATTTCAAGACCTATATATTTTGTTGTTTTCTTTTTCTTGTCTGTGAGGTAGTTCTGAAGTAAATCATTGCTTAAACTATGTTAATGTGCAAGAATACATTGCTTGTTTTACTCTTTCCTTGCAATCATTTACTTATTTGTAGTTTGTTGCCTTAACTATATGTACAGCAAGGAAGATGGGATTAATCATTCAGGAGGCATTTTTAGCCTTGATGAAGGCTAAACACTATCAGGGCTCTGAATCAGTGTTTTTGCTTTTGACTTGGCCCTCCCTGTTGCAAGATGGCCTCTGCAGAACCAAGTGCCATGTCCTCCAAATGTTCAAAAGCAGGAAGCAGAGGTGGTGCAGGGCAGAGAGGTTCTCCCTGGATACCTGTCTCAAAAGAACCCTCAACATATTTCCTTTGTATCTCATTGGCCCCATCTGGATAATATTGCCATAGTATCTACAAAGAAGGATAGAGAAGTGAGTATTGGATCTTCTAGGCTGCTATAGAGCCATGTTGGCACAGTGGTTAAGAGCTTGGCTGCTAACCAAAAGGTCGGCGATTCCAATCCACCAGCCACTCCTTGGAAACCCTATGGGCCAGTTATACTCTGTACTATAGGGTTGCTGTAAGTTGGAATTGACTAGATGGCAACGGATTTGGTTGATTTCATACACACAAATGATTTCTATGTGATGGAAAATTTGAAATAGCATTATGATTTGATATGTTAAGAGGTATTATTTACCTTAAATTGAAACCTAATAAGCTATTTTTGCAAAGTTTTAAATTTCATAATAAAATGCATTATATACTTTCGTGATAATATGTATTGTGTATGTAAACAATAACTTGGCAGTTTAAAACTTATTATGTGACTATTTTTGTTTAGAGGATGTTTTGGAAATTATTGAAAATGAAGGCTTTAAAATTCTGATGCAAAGACAAATAGTATTATCAGAAGAGGAAGCACAAATGCTCTGCAAGGAGTATGAAAATGAAGACTTTTTTGAGAATCTTATAGAGAACATGACCAGGTGAATTGGAGTTCAGGTTGAGAAAGCACAGTCTACTTTATGAATCATTTAAACCTTCTTTTAACCCTATTTTCTGTTCAAGTTGCCAAGCTTCTCAATTCTGTGAACATGTCCTGAGTCTACTTCTTTACCAGCCCTGCCCCCATCCTGATTCTCTGCTCAACTGTCTGGCTTCTGTTATACTCCTGGAATGTCATTGGAACAATGAGGTCTCACATAAAGTAGTTGGAGTCCAGTTGAGTTGAATAGTAGAAATCCAGGATGTGCAACATTATGAAGTCCAAGCAGAGAAATGACTGTCTCTCAGGGGCTTTGGTATTTCTAAGGTCCCTGAGGTTTCCAGAAGAGTAACTGAAATAGCCAAGGCAGAAATCCAGCAAGGGCATATCAATCAGCAGGAGCATGGGAACAGTGTAGGAGCTGCTCTGTCAGAAACAAGGTCCTTCACTTTGCTTTCTTTCCATACTGCCACCCTTTTACAAATATACTCTTTCAATTATACCAAAGGAAGTTAATTTTAGACCCCTGATAAAAGGATTATTTTGACATATTGTTTAGCCTACTTAACAATATGCATTTGTAAAAGGTCAACAGTTCGAATCCACCAGCCGCTCCTTGGAAACCTTATGGGTCAGTTCTACTCTGTCATATAGGGTCGTTATGAGTTGGAATGGACTCCACAGAAAGGTTTTGTTTTGTTTTATATATAATTAACTACTGAACCAGGTTTTGTTTTGTTTTATATATAATTAACTACTGAGCCATACTTAAACTTTTTTTTTCTTTTTGAACAGTGGTCCATCTCTAGCCCTTGTTTTACTAAGAGACAATGGTTTGAAGCACTGGAAAGACTTACTGGGACCAAAGTTTGTTGAAGAAGCCAGCAAACATGATCCAGAGAGGTAGGATTCACATCACGGGTCCCCAACTTTATCCATGGGGTCTATTTAAATTTCTTTTTGGGTATGAGACAAGGGAGCTTTTCAGGAAAGCTAATTTTTCTAGGGACGGAGTGGGCTGCTTATGACTGGATACCCAACCCAATGCCAACCTGAAGATGACCTAGGTTTTGCAAGAGAAGGTGGTGGGATACTGGGTTTTGGGTTAGAAAGTAAGTGAAGGATACCCAGCCAGGGATACCCAGCCAACCTGCTCTTTAGTAGAAATTCTTTTGAGAAGAGTTGTGGTGGCACCTGTATGTCCTTTAATTGTTCATAAGAGTTTCAAGACAATGATATGCAGTCTACAGTTTGATGGGAACATTTACTGAGTTAGTTTACTGATGAATCTTAGAAATTTGCTAAACTTTGTAACCAGCTCAACACCCGGAACAGTACCTGGCACATAGGGGGTACTCTTTAAATATCTTTCGAGTGTAGTTGTTGGGCTTGTTCCCATCTGGGGGATGGGAATGTATCTCATGCCCTTCTATGGCTGGCATCAAACTGATAGAAAGCAAACTGAATTGCAATTTGATTGCATTCTTTTTGCTAATTTCAGGTTAGGATTCTACTTAAGGAGGAAAATGCTCCCCTTTCGAGTAGGCCAGAATAAAAATGCTCTATTATAGCACAGTGAGCTTGGCATAGATGTTGACACAATAAATACACAGTGTATATGAAACATCACTTACATAAAAGCTGAGGTGATTTCTTTTCAGTAGAATCTACTTGACCTTGACTTGTCTTACATGGGCACAGTTTACCCCACATTTAGCCCTACTCACTTATGTCTTTGCTCCTCAGCCAGACAATTACTGTAAAGAATAATATAGGTCGAATATCTTCCAAGTGGTATGAGTCAAGTGCCATACATTTCTCAATAAAATATAACATAGAATGCAGTGCATGACAGCAGAGAGAGAATTCCTATCAACAACAGGCCTTTGGTTGCATGCATACTAGTCTAGAAGTTGTGGTTGGAGAGATGGAGGTTGTGTACCAGTCTGGAGACATTTTCTCCAGGTGAAAGCACCCAGTGACTATCTCTCCTCACCCCAAATAGTGAGAGTTCCCATTCAGAGCCCTTACTTTGCCTAGTTTGCCCCAAGTTCCCAACTCATCTTGACCGTTTCTTCTGATTCGTCCTCCGTTCTCTAGTTTCCTTGGCTCCAACCAGCTCTTTGATGCTGCTTTAGAAATGACTCTGTCCTCAGAGTTCTGCCCCTTTCTTGCACTTGGGTATCAGACTCTATACTTCACATATCTTTAATCTGAAATCTGGCCTCTTGTATAAAAGAGAAAAACAGCAACCCATCGTTCTCCTTCTTTATTCTGTCTATCTCATCTTTTTTTCTCCCCACTTTTTCCAATAATCATTTTTAACAGCATAATATGGGGCTGGTTGTGATGTCACGCAATGAATAGAGTAAGTGCTGATGATACATGGGCTGTTTTCACTATTCTTTGTGCAAACATTGACTCCTGGCCATCAGAGATTCCAAAGATCTTGGCTTGGAAATATCTTCAAATCAGAGGTGTGAGAACCACTAAGGGCAGAGTGTGACGGTCAAGTTGAATAAGGCAAAAGAAAATCTGACAGGGTCACTAAAACCAGAGAGGCCAGAAGAGGGTCTTGATGATGGAGGCAAAGAGCCAAGATTCCATTGACGTGAATCTATTGACAGGAAGAGACCTTATCCACCTTGGATGCATTTTGTGGTTGTCTGCTCAGGACTGGATTTGAAGGGCAGATAATGAAATGGGCAGTTAGCATGTTAGCATCTCCTCTACTGAAGTATATACAAGTAGATAGAGAGCAACAGAGAGAAAGGGCAACTAGCGGGGAGGGAAGAAAAAAAAAAACAAACAAAAACCACAACAAGCAGCAAAGAACAACAACTGAGTTAGGAGATAATTGTTGTTGTTCTTGTTAGGTGCCCTCAAATCAGTTCCAACTCATAGTAACAGAATGAAACACTGCCCAGTCCTGCACCATCCTCACAATTGTTGCTATACTTGAGCCCATCATTGCAGACACTGTCAGTCCATCTCATTGAGGGTCTTCCTCTCTTTCCCTGACCCTCTACTTTACCACGCATGATGTCCTTCTCCAGGGACTGGTCTTTTCTGATAATATGTCCAAAGTACAGGAGAAGAAGTCTCACCGTCTTCGACTCTAAGAAGCACTCTGGCTCTACTTCTTCCAAAACAGATTTGTTTGTTCCTCTGGCAGCCCAAGGTATATTCAATATTCTTTGCCAGCACCATAATTCAAGGACATAAGTTCTTCTTTGATCTTCCTTATTCATTATTCATTGTCCAGCTTTCACATGTATATGAGACGATTGAAAATACCATGGCTTGGGTCAGGTGCACCTTTGCCCTAAAAGTGACATCTTTGCTTTTTTAACACTTTAAAGAAGTCTTTTGCAGTAGATTTGCCCAGTGCAACACGTCGTTTGATTTCTTGACTACTGCTTCCATGGGTGTTCATTGTGGATCCAAGTAAAATAAAATCCTTGACAGCTTCAATATTTTCTCCATTTATCATAATGTTGCTTACCGGTCCATTTGTGAGGATTTTTGTTTTCTTTATGTTGAGCTATAATCCATACTGAAGGCTGTAGTCTTTGATTTTCATCAGTAAGTGTTTCAAGTCCTCTTCACTTTCAGCAAGCAAGGTTGTGTCATCTGCATATTGCAAATTATTAATGAGCCTTCCACCAATCCTGATGCTGTGTTCTTCTTCACATAGTCCAGCTTCTCGGATTATTTGCTCAGCATACAGATTGAATAAGTGTGGTGAAAGGATACAACCCTGATGCACGTCTTTCTTGATTTTAAACCACCCAGTATTCCCTTGTTCTGTTGGAACAACTGCCCCTTGGTCTATATACAGGTTCCACATAAGCACAATTAGTGTTCTGGAATTTCCATTCTTAGCAATGTTATCCATAATTTGTTATGATTCACTTAGTCAAATGCCTTTGCATAGTCAATAAAACACAAGTAAACATCTTTCTGATATTCTGCTTTCAACCAAGATCCATCTGATATCAGCAATGATATCCTTCATTCCACCTACTCTTCTGAATCCAGGTTGAATTTCTGGCGGTTCCCTGTGGATGTAATGCTGCAACCGTTTTTGAATGATTTTCAGCAAAATTTTACTTGTGGGTGATGTTAATGATATTGTTCGATAATTTCCACATTCTATTGGATCACTTTTCTTTGGAATGGGCACAAATATGGATCTCTTCCAGTCGGCTGGCCAGATAGCTGTCTTCCAAATTTCTTGGCATAGACAAGTGAGCACCTCTAGCTCTGCATCCATTTGTTGAAACATCTCAATTGGTATTCCATCAATCCTGGAGCCTTGTTTTTCAACAGTGCCTTCAGTGCAGCTTATACTTCTTCCTTCAGTACCATTGATTCTTGATCATATGTTACCTCCTGAAATAGTTGAACTGAATAGTTGAGGAGATATTTAGTCATCAGTAATAAAGGAAGCAGAACCAGAATAAAGTATCTAACCTGACATGGATTGCCCATTACCATCAGCAACACTTCTGCTTCTTCTCATAAAGCCAATCTGGATGCTCCTTTTGTTGCTGTACTTGCTCACCCAAAAGTTTCCTTTACAGTAATTTTCCAGATCCAATGTTTATAATTTGGTAATTTTAGTGTATAGTTAAATGCCAAATATGTAAAGGTGCAAGAAGAGGAAGAATATTTATTGAGATATTAATATACACCATATGTTTCAAATACATCGTCTGATTATGTGCTCAAAATCACCTCTAAAGCAGGTTTTATGATCGTGTTTACATTTGAAACCAAAAAAAACCGTTGCCTTCGAGTTGATTCCAACTCCTAGTGACCCTATAGGACAGAGTAGAACTGCCCCATAGGGTTTCTAAGGCTGTAATCTTTATGGGAGCAGACTGCCACATATTTCTCCTGCAGAGCAGCTGGTGGGTTCGAATCGCTGACCTTTTGGTTAACAGCCAAGCATTTAACCACTGTGCCACCAGGGCACCAATATCCATTATTATGATTATTTCAATCTTCCTTTCTTCCAAATGACTATTAACTCCTTGAAGGAAAGTAGTATGGCCCAAGTCACTCTGTGGTTAATTTCTTTTTGCACAATGCCTAGACCAGGAATGAGTTGCCCCTGGTTAATGATAACTTTTGAACAATTTATGTAATTAGTTATATAAATAGTGTTTTGTTAGTGTTTTGTTTTATTGTTAGTTACAACAACATTTTTGAACTTGACTTTTTTTCAAGTTTATGTGCACAGTTTGCAAAGGAAAGTTTGCCTATCAACCAGTTGTATGGAAGTGGTTCACTGGAAGCTGCTGAAAAGGAAATACAGCATTTCTTTCCTCCTCAAAGCACGTTAGCACTGATTAAACCTCATGTATCCTATGAAAATAAAGGTAAATATTTAAAAACAAAAGCCAATGTATATTTTTTTTCTAAATTTTTTGAAAATCTCCAAACTATAGAAAAGTTGAAAGAATAATAATTGTTAAATTTTGCCACATGTTTGCTTCCTGCCTCCCCCCCCCCATTCTTCTCTCTGTCCCTCCCTTATTCAAAAGTGGGTACTGAATTTTGTTGAAGTCCTTTTCAGACTTGATGGAAATGATGATGTATTTTTTTTTCCCTCCATAGATATATGTAAGAGTAAGCATAAATCTAAAAAAAGAAAACTCACATTTTCCCTAGTACAAAAAAGGAAACAGACACCTCCTACTTTTCTTAGAGCGTTTACTTTAGAAAACTTGTAATTGTGAATTCTTTCTCTGCCCCTTTATGATGTATGTAAATCTTTTTAAAAGCTAAGTAAGGCTTTTGCTGACTTTATAACCCAGGAATGTCTTTCACAAGTACCTGGGAGCCATATTTTAAAAATGTAAACACCAAGGAAAATAGTACCCCTATCTCCTCATCCCCATGGAAGCTTAACTTAAGTCTCTAGCTCCAAAATGTAACTATCTACCTGTCATAGAGATTTGAGAAAATTTTATTATTCCTTTGGATAAAAGAATTAGCAAACATAAATGCCACCACAATTACCAGGTGAATTTAAAATGAACTATGTGTAACAAATGATGTAGTCAAGCCCTCTTACTTGAGGGCTGGTAATCATTTATCTTGAGACATGTACATTGGGTTGTATTAGCTTGGTTTTATGAAAAAGGTGAGATTTCTTTCTGTTTTTGCAATTCTTTTAGCAGATTGTCTCCAGTACGCACCCTATTCTGGCTTAATGTTTGTTCAATAATAAAACTCTTTTCTTTCTCTTCTACTTTTGTGGAGAAGTTTTCGAGGTTTCCAGGATATTTTGTGTTTAATTCTATTTCCCCAACATATATTAATATGGAAAATTTCATTAATTATTTTTCTAATATCGAGCCATCCTTCCATTCTTGTGTAAACTCCACTTAGTCATGACATATTTTTAAATCTGCTTTTAAGTTCTATTTGCTTATATTTTATTTGGGAGTTTTTGCACTGAGACTTAAAAGTGAGATTGGTTTGTACTTTTTATTTTTTGTGCAATTTTATCAGGTTTGGATGACAACGTAATACTTCATTAAAAATGCAAATGTCTCATTTTTCAGTGTTCTGAAAAAGTTTAAGCAGCACTCGCGTTGGTATTGAAGGTTTGGTAGAATTTTCTTGCAAAAACATCTGGGCTTGTTGCTTTCTTTTTGCAGGATAATTCTTTGACCACTTTCTCTGTTTCTTTATGGAAATTAATCTATTTAAACTTCTTATCACTATGAAAGTTAATTTTGTTAAATTTTGTTTTCCTAGGAAATTATCTTTTTCATTTTCATAGAGCTTGCAAAGTAATCTCTATTATTATTATTATGTCCAATTTCATCTGTTTCAATGGTTATTTCCACCTTGCCATTTCATATTTTGCTGTATTTCAAACAACCATAATTTGATTTTTTTTTTTTTATTTTGATGTGTAGGATTGTTAGTTTCCTTTGTGGTTACCTTAATATTTACCCCTATTTTCTAAGTTTAAACAAGTATTTTATTTCTTTATATCACCTTGACTTTCTCTCCATATGAAAGATCTATGACTACATTTTTTTAGTCCCTCTTTTTTGTTTTAATGTTGTCATCTTTTACATATTGATGTCTCTGTTTTAGCTTTGATTTATTTTTGCAGCTTCCCTATCTGGGGTGATATCTGGTTGCTCTGTCTTGTGTTCTAGTCTTGCGTTGTTATCTGATGTTACTGATCTTCTAACCGGAGGACTCCCTTTAGTATTTCTTGTAATTTTGGTTTGGTTTTTGCAAATTCCCTAAACTTCTGTTTATCTGGAAATGCCCTAATTTCGCCATCAAATTTGGGAGACAGTTTTGCTGGATATATAATTCTTGGCTAACAATTTTTTTCCTTCAAGGCTTTATATATGTCATCCCATTGCCTTCTTGCCTGCATGGTTTCTGCTGAGTAGTCTGAGCATAGTCTTATGGACTCTCCTTTGTAGATGACTTTTCTTTTATCTGTAGCAGCTCTTAAAATTCTCTCTATATCTTTGGTTTCAGCAAGTTTGATTATAATATGCCTTGGTGACTTTCTTTTGGGATCTACTTTGTGTGGGGTTCGATGAGCATCTTGGAGAGCTACCTTCTCATTTTTCACGATATCAGGGAAGTTTTCTGCCAACAAATCTTCAACAATTCTCTCTGTATTTTCTGTCATCCCCCCTCCCTGCCCCGTTCTGGTACTCCAATCACTCATAGGTTATTCCTCTTGATAGAGTCCCACATCATTCTTAGGGTTTCTTCATTTTTTTAAATTCTCTAACCTGATTTTTCCTCAAATAAGTTGGTGTCAAGTGCTCTATCTTCAATCTCACTAATTCTGACTTCCATTGCCTCAGTTCTGCTCCTATGACTTTCTATTGAGTTATCTAATTCTGAAATTTCATTGTTAATCTTTTGGATTTCTGTTTGTTGTCTCTCTATGGATATGTGAAGCATGTTAACTTTGTCATTATGCTCTTGAATAACCTTCTTAAATTCCTCTATTGCTTTGTCTGTGTGTTCTTTGGCTTGTTCTGCATTTTGTCTGATCTCCTTCCTGATGTCTTGAAGAGTTCTGTATATTAATCTTTTGTATTCTACCTCCAGTAATTCCAAGAAGTTCTCTTCCTCCAGAAGATTTACTGATTCTTTGTTTTGGGAGCTTGCTGAAGCCGTAATGGTCTGCCTGTTTATGTGATTTGATATTGACTGTTGTCTCTGAGCCATCAATAAGTTATTATATTTATTTATTTTATGTTTACTTACTGTATCCTAGCTTCTTGTTTTGTTTAGTTTTGATAAACCCAAATAGGCTGCTTGTGTGAGCTAGTTTGATTATTGGCACCTTTGAAGCTCTAATGTTCTGTCATCAGGTGATTAGATCTGTTACTAGGTATGTGAGTCCAGGAGTCCATTTACTTTTTTTGTATAGATTCAGCTTAGGTGTCCAGGTAGCTGGTCACCAAGTGTGTGGTGCAGGCTCTCACCTACAGTCCTAGACAGGCAGCAGTGATTGGAGTAGGCACAGATATCTGGCTGTAGTAGGGAGTCACCCGCTGAGCAAGGCAGGGGGCTGATGGCTGCCCCTGAGTGTCTGAAAGGAAAGCGTATCCAGGTTCCCTAGAGTGCATAAGTGGGTAGGTTTTGCAGCCAGACTATGGGCACCCAATGCTGTTGGCTGTAAGGACTGGGAGGCACCACTTATTCTTGGACCCCTGTCTCGGGTGTCTAGGTGACATGGGTGGAGCCTCCAGTCCTCAGGCCCCTGATATGGATAGGTAAGGACCCTGCTAAATGGACAGAGCAGTGTCAAATGTCACGAACCTGCCACTCCACCATGTAGCTGATACAGTTGAAGTTAGGTGTCAGGTATATACCCTGTTGTACTGTGCTAATGAGGGCCTATGCTGTTGAAATGGGCCCACACAGGTCTGTGCAGGGGTGAAAGGCATTCAAAGTCTGTGGACCCATTATGCCTGTGCCTAGGCAAAGGAGCTGTCCCTGCCCTGAGTTCCTGGCCTAGGGGAGCTGGCAGATTATTTTTTTCCTGTTTGTTAATTTGTTGCCTCTGCAAGCCTGGGAGAATGGCTCAGGGTGAATAACGGGTCCTACTTCCAGCCCAGGGGACACGGAAATCGCTGAAGCCAGCCCAGGACCAGTGCAGAGCTGAGAAGAGACAGGTAAATGGGAGAGAAGTTCTTCCCAAACGGGGTGTTTTTTGATCCGCGAGGTAGGTTAGATGTGTGTACTTATCTTTTGCCGATTAAGCACCACTTTTCACTGGTTCTGGAGGCTTGAGTAGACTCTCTGCCACTTGGTCTCTCCTGATGTGAAAAACATGTCCTGAGTGCTACTGCTTGCCTCAATGCACAAGCCAGCCAATCCAGCCTGCAGGGTGCTGGTTCCCACTGGGTCAGATCTGGCAACTCTTCGCTGCTTCCGAATCATCTCTCCTTCCCCCTGCCACTTGGTCCAATTCCTCAACTTTGCCTTTAATTTCCAGGGCTCCTAAATTGTCATATGTAATCAATTCACTTGTTTTTTCAGGTCTTTGTTGTAAGAGGGACCTCAGGAAATGTCTGACTACTCCACCATCTTGACCCCACCTCCATAATTTGATTTTTTTAATGAATTCTACTATTTTTTCTATTTTCTAGCTCATTTCTTTCTGTTTTTATCTTTATTATTTCCTTCCTTCTATTTTCTAGTAATTTTGTTTCATGTTCTTCCTCTAGCTTTTTGAATTGGATATTTATTTAATTCTTTCATTTATATTGGTACATATTTTTAAGGTTATAGATTTTCCTCTGATCATCATTTTAATTGTATCCTACAGGTTCTCATGTATAGTGTTTTCTATATCATTATTTCATAATAAATTCTAAAATTTTGGTTTTTATTTCTCCTTAGAATGACTTAATTAAAAATTTATTTTTAAGAAGAAGGGTTTTTAAAAAATATCCAATTGGAAGACGTTTATTTTATTTTCTTCTTATTATTTTATTTTAGTGCATTGTGATTACAGAATGTTCTTTTATTATTTCTCTTTATTGAAATTATTAGGGTGTTTTTTTTTTAAACTGCTATATAATAAATTTTTGTGAAGGTTGTGTGAGCGTGAAAGAAGGGATATTCTTTATTATCTTTGTACGTGGATTGAATATATGTGTGTGTATATGTATATATAGATTCATAAGATCTACCTTATTGTTTCTTTTGTTCATATCTTCTGTATCGTTACTTTATTTTTTGACAACTTGATCTGTCTTGGACCATTGGTGGTGTGTTAGTCACCTATTTTTAGTATGTTGCTGACTATTTCTCTTCTTGTTTCTGATTTATGAAGATGGCTGCTCTGTTATTTGATACATAGATATTTATA